TCTCTCTCTCTCTCCCTCCCCCCCCTCTCTCTCTCTCACATACATATACGTACACGCATTTCATTCCTTTCGCCTCTCCGCCCCCCATCGGCCGCCTCGTGCAACAACAGGCCGGCCCCGATCAACCCGTCGCACTTCCTGCGCGAGGTGCGGCGGAATGCGGCGCAGTTCCGCGGCGGCGGCCAGTGCGACGCCCACGAGCTGTTCATGATCGTCCTGGACCAGCTGACCTCGGAGGCGGCCACCTTCGCCAGGGAGGCCCGGCAGTCGGGCAGCCCCCCGGGCGGCGGCGGCCCGGCAGCCGTGGCCGCCCGGCCGACCTACGTCGACCAGCTGTTCGGCGGGACCCTGGGGCACTTTACGAAGTGCCACGATTGCGGCACGCTCTCCCTGACCCAGGAGCCGACCTTTTGCGCGACTCTGCCGCTGGAGGCCGAGCGCCGGCCTACGCGCACAGGCGTCCCCACCCCCTCGGTCCACGGTTCGTTGCCCGGCTGGCCTCCTGGCCGTGGTTCCCCTCCCTCGCCCCCCTCCCCCCCTCTGTGCCTCCTCGCCCCTCCGTTGTTGCATGGCCTCCATCGGGCGCACTCGGCGTTTGATATTGACGCGCGCCTGCACGCACGCACACGTACCCTGCGAATGTCCCCCTTCTTCCCCCTCTGGCACTCCCTGCACGAAGACGACATCATGGGTCTCATCCGGAACTCGGCGTCCAGCGGCTACCGGCCGGTGACTCGAGTGGACAACTTCCGCACGTCGGGCTCCCTGACGGACGGCCTGGCCCGGCTGACCTCGCCGTTTGTCCTGCACGACAGCAATTAGTGCGTCTCGCCCTCCCCTTTCTCCCTCTGGCCCGGGCCCCTGCCCTGGCATGCGGCGGGGAAGGGGCCGACAGCGGGTGTGCGCCTTGCCTGCATCTTCTCCTGACGCTTTGCCATGAATGTGTCCACGCTCCTGGATGCAGCTATGCCTGTACCGAGTGCCCGAAGAAGGCCGCCGACGGACCCGCCTCGCCCAGTGCCCTTACCGAGCAGGGCCGTGTCGCCGGGGCGGGGGGGATTTCCGACGAGGAGGCCTCCTCGGAGGGGATCTCCGCGGATGAGGTCTCCTCGGAGGGGATCTCCGCGGATGAGGTCTCCTCGGAGGGGATCTCCGCGGATGAGGTCTCCGGCGAGGACACCTCCGCGGATGAGGTCTCCGGCGAGGACACCTCCGCGGATGAGGCTTCGGACGACGGGGATACCTCCACAAGTGAAACCTCTGGCGGGGAGATGTCCGAGGAGGAGACCCCCACCGGAGAGGCCTCCAGGGACAATGGCGCCGCGCATGTGGTCCCCGAGGGCAGTGGCCCCGCGGATGGGAGCTCCGAGGAGGGCGTCCCTGCGAGCGGGCCGCCTGCGGAGCCGGCCGCCGCTGCGGGGGGCCTTCTCGAGGCCGAGGCCGCCGCCTCGGCGGCAGCCGGCCCCGAGCCACCCGCCACAGGGGCCAGCGTTCCCGAGCAAGACCTCGCCGCCGGGCAGCCGGCCCCCGCCGAGTTCGAGGATGCCGAGAGCCCCGGGGCGCCGGAGCCCAGCGCGGCGGCGGCGGCGGCGGCGGCGGCGGCGGCGGCGGCAGCGGACGCCGTGGCCGAACTCCCGCACGCCTCGGACGACGAGTCCGACACCCCGGAGGACCAGGTTGACAGGATGCTGGCCAAGCTCCGCATGGGAGCGGCCCCGGTGCAGCCGGTCCCCCGGGCGCCGGCGGCGGCGGCGGCCCCGACATCGGCCAAGACCGCGCCAGCCACCGCCTCACGGCTTGCCCTTTTCCGGCGGCTGCCGCCGGTGCTGGTCTTCCACCTGAACCGGTACGCACGCGCGCGCGCACTTCCCCTCTCGCGCTGGCTCCCTCTCCTTCCTTCCTCCGTCCACCCCCCCCCATGCGCCTCGCTGACTGTGCTCTCCTCGTCGTTCGTGGGGTTTAGCTTCGCCTCGTCCGGGCTCCGGCGCTCGACGTCCAAGTCGCAGCTTGTCTGCCGGTTCCCGCTGGAGCTGGACATGCGGCCGTACACGCTGCCGCCGCGGCGGTTCCTGCTCCCGAGTGCCGGGCCGCCGTTGGATGGGCTGGGCGCCGGCTCGGGGTCCGTGGTCCCGGTCCGGCCGCTCGCCAACCCGCCGGACTCCTACTACCAGTACACCCTGGTGGCGGTGGTCCAGCACCAGGGGTCCATGTCTGGCGGGCACTATGTGGCCTACGTCAACGCCACGGCCGCGTTGCAGAGTACGTGTGCCGCACGCGTGCGCGCATGCACCACCACCACCACCACCGCCGCCTGGGCAGGCCACAGCCCGAGCCGCCATTCCGCCTGCCCCACTGACCGTGTGTCCTCTCGCCACCCGCGCCCCACCCTGCCCGGACCGCTCGCCCAGGCCACCTGGAGGGCCTTGACGAGGCTGAGCGGCCGACCCTGCCGGCCAGCCGGCTGGCGCGAACCAACAACTGGTTCCTCATCAGCGACTCGAGCGTGCGCCCGGTCAGCGAGGCCCATGTCCTCTCCTCCGAGGGGTACCTCTTCTTCTACCAGCGCAGCCTGAGCCTGGCCGACGAGCTGGCCCTCCTGGCCGACGAGGCGGCCGGCCAGTAGCGCCGGGGGGAATATACGCCCGACCGTGCCATCACGCCAGAGCCCGCACGTGACACTCGCCGCCGCGCCGATCACCCCCGGGCCTTTGCGGCCGGAGGGGGAGGGAGGGGGGGGGGGGGTGTTCTCCCAGCCCGGCGCACGTACACGCGGGAACGCGCGGCTACTTTTGCATGCGTGGGGGCGGGCGCCTGGGGGGGCCGGCGCGACAAACGGGGGCGCCGGCGTGTGGGTCCCTCCTCGGCGGGCGCCCGGAAAGTGGCGCAGGGGCTCGTCTCACGCAGGGCGCACGCCGGGGACGCGTTCGGCGACGTGCGGTCCGGCGGCAGGTCGGGCCCGGACGGTGGCGCGTTATCTGGCGGCGCTCGGGTCCGGCGCCGGGGGGGGGGGGAGGCGCGGGGATGACCGGCGCCGGCGGTCCCCGGGCGTGAGAAGGCGCACCGTTCTCGGTCCACTCCGCGAGCGTGGTCTATTGTGGCGGCGCGCCCCCGTGCTCCGTTCGGGGTCCCCCGCGCCGGCGCGGGGCGGGCTGAGCGCATCTGACGGGCCGATTGCCCCGCCCGCCCCCCCCCCGCCGCACACGACTTTCCTCGGGCGCCCCCTCCTGCCCCGGGGGGGGCGGGCGGAGGTGATGCGCGAGACCTCGCCCCTCCCCCCCCCCCGCAGCCGGTCTCACCCGGGGTCGGCGCCCGGGCTGGCGCCAAGCAGGCGGCATCCGGCCGCCAAGTGGGCGCAGGCCGGCTCCCGGGATCTCTGCCCCGGTCCGCCGCCGGCCTGGCTGGCGGGGGGAGATCGGGCAGCCTGCCGGGCGCCGATCCGGCCCCGCCCCCCCCCCCCCGCACCCGCCATCGCCGCGGGTGGGCGCGCGGTTGCGGGCGGGCGTGGTTGTGGGTGTGCTCTGCACGTGCGGGGGCGTGTGTTGTTTGCTGGTTAGATCGCCCCCGTGTGCGCGCGCGCGCGCGCGCGCGCGCCGGATGCCACGGTCTGCCCCGCGCAGGGCCCCGGGAGCAGTCTCGGGGCACCCGGCGCAAATGCGCCAGGAGATGGGAGGGAGGAGGCCCTTGTCGGTGGGGGGGGGGGCGGTGGTCGGGCCGGGTTTTGGGCCGCCGCGGATGCTCGCGCGCACCTGCCGCCGCGGGCCATCGTCCCCTTCTCTCGCGCTCTCCCCCCCCTCTCGCTTGCTTGCTTGCTCGTCCCCCCGCCCTCCCCTCCTGCTCCGCCTCCTTCATCTGTCTCCCGCCTTCCCTGCATTCCCCGCCCTCCCTTCCCGCCTCTGCCCGCCGACGCCCTGCCGGAGCGTGGCCCGATGGCCTTTGCCGTGCGACGCCGGGCGGCCCACAGCCCGCCCCTGCCTCCTCCTGGGCCGGGAGCCACGCCCTGCCGGGAGGATGGCCCCCGATCGGTGCCGGAAAAGGCCGGCAGCCCGCCGGCCCATCCTCCCCGGGGGCGGATCTCCACCCTGGCCTTGGAACGGGTCACGGTCGGGGCCTTTGTCATCTTGGCGGCCTTCTCGACCGCGCACCCGGCCCTGGCGCCCTCGTCGGCGGTGGACCTGCCGCTGGCCGGGTCCTTGATGACCGAGTCCCTGGCGGACCTGTGGGCCTCGCCGGCCGTGTGGCTGTATGACCGGATTTGCGGGCTGAGCTCGAGCACCGGCTCGTGGCGTTTTTCCGGTGGTGCGGCCGTGGGTTTCTGTCGGCTTGCCTTGCTTCTTGATGTGGCCCCTGGTCGGCCGTCCTCCCCCCGTCGGGGCGTGTTTGTGAAACTGACCTCGGCGCAGTGCTATTGGTGTGCATGCTGGTGGCGGCCCTGGCCGTGGACATTCCCTTCGCGTACCTGGTGTCGCGGCCGGCGGCGAGCCATGCCCCGGGGCGCGCGGGCGCGCGCAGTGCCGACGGCAGCCCCATCCAGCTGCTCAAGAGCCTCCCCCTGGCGGAGGACCCGAGCTCCGAGGCGGAAGCCCCGGGCCCGGGGGCCGTGCTGCCCTCCGGCCTGTCCGGGTCCTGGTCCATGTCCTCGATCGCCACGCTGCTGGATGAGGACCGGTCGGAGCCCGGGCAGCCGGCCGGCGGGGGCGTGGGCCCGGATGGGCCGGCGGACGCGATGGCCGCCCCGGCGGCCCTGGCATCCTCGCGGCCGGTGGAGTGGCTGCGGCACCGGCGGCGACAGGCGCACGTCCGGCCGCGACGCCGGTTCCAGGTGGGCCAGTCGATCGCCGACTTGAACCAGGCCCTGGTGCGGCTCTTTTCCGAGGTGTACATCGGGCCGGAGTCTCGGCGCGGGTTCCGGCCCTTCGCCGACCCGGGGGTTTTGCATGGGGCCCTGCTGGTGCCGCTGGTGCTGCTTGCCCTGCGCGCGCACCTGAACTTCAACATGCAGTATGGGGTGCCGGCGCGCGGGGAGCCGGGCATCTGGCCGCTGGCCGGGGTGGCCATCCCGGTCGGTGGCGATCCGGTTGGCTACCTGAGCCAGCTGCTCGGGGTGTCGCTCAGCTGCTCGCTGGTGTTCCTGGGCCAGGCCCTGTGGGATTTGCTGCGGGAGGTGGCCGCTCGCCAGCGGCCAGGGACCCGGCGGCCCGAGCCATGGGTCGGCCGACTGCGCGCGGTGCGGGCCGTGGTCACCGGGGCCGGGAGTCTCCTGCTGCCGGCGCTGCTGGCGTCGCCCTTGCCGGGGCTGGTTGCCGCGCTGCTGGTGGCCCCGTGGCCGGTGGCGTGGGGGGCGCTGGTGGCTGGCGTGCGGGTGGCCCTCGGCCCGGCCGGGTGCCCTGCCGCCGGGCGGCCGGCCGCCCTGGCATGGGCCCTCTGCCGGGGCCGGTGGGCCTTGTCCTCGGTGGACCCGGCGCGCTTCCTCCTGGCGCTGGTGGCTCTGCATGGGTACCGGCTGGTGATGAAGCTGACGCCGCGGGTCTTTCCGCGGAGTTTCACCCGCGGCGAGGCGTCGGTGCTGGTGCAGCTGGTGGTTTTCCTGATGGTGGATGCCGGCCTGGCGACCATCACGCAGGTGTGTCGTTGTCCTTTCGTGCTTCTTGTCCTCCCCCCGGCCGCCCGGCCGCCCGGCCGCCCGCTGTCTCTCGCTCCTCAATGTCCCTCCTTCCCCGGGTGGTGCCCAGCGTGTCCGGCGACCTTGGACTGACCTCCCGCTTGCTGCCTGCCTGGGGTCAGCTGGATCTTGCATCGGTGCCGCCCTCCTGGCGCTTCAACCGGCCGGTCATTCTCCTGTACACCGAGGCGTTGTTCCTCGGGTGCCTCTTGATCTCGACGGTCGGGTACCCGGTGTTGCTGCTGCTGAGGTGCGCCGGCTTTCTCTCCTCTGTCTCTTTCTCTCTTCTTCTCTCTCTCTCTCTCTCTGACACGCGCGTTCCTCCTTGCTCTGTGGTCTCCCTGCTCCTTTGCTTCTTGTCGCTTTGGCCCTTTCCGCCGCCACCCTCCCCGGCGGTCTGCCACCCTGGCACTGGCTCTGTGGCCCTGGCCCCGGGCTGATGCTCTCCCCCCCCCCCCCCCCCGTCCCTCCTCCTTGCCTGGCCGCGCACCACACCAGGTATTCCAATCGGCGCTTCGGCCCGCGGAGCCCACAGTCCGCAGCACTGGCCGGCGGGTTCTTGCTCCTGCTGGCGGCCCTGCTGCACTGGGTCGTGTGTCCCTGGCTCGGGGGGCTGATTGGCATTCACCCGGCCGTGTGGTGCGGGCCCGGTTGCCTCCTCCCTCCCCCCCTCGCGCCCCTGTCCCCCGTGCCTCGCGCCCTCTTGCCCATGATGCCGTGGCTAACCCCGTCACCTGCCATAGGACCATCCAATTCATCGGTGCCTCGCGCCGGCGCGGGCTGATCTTGGCGTACTGGATTGTGCTGCTGGTGGTCGCTCTGGCCGGGCTGGCGCTCTTCGGTCGATCGCGCAGCCAGGCCCCCAAGGCGGCGGGTGGCCCCTCGGCGGCTGCCCCGCCGGTGGCGGCGTCGGACTCCACCGGGTCCTTGCTGCTGGCGGCCGCCGGCTCCGGACCGCCCATCGACCTGGTCCTGGGCGAGGAGGACCTGCGCCTGCTCCGGCGGCAGAAAAACAGCAAGCGCGGCCACTTCCATGGTGTGCCCATCCACCTGATCCGAAAGTACTTCCACCTGGTGGCGGTGGTAATGTTTGTGCCGTGCTACCTGCTGGATGTGCGTTTTGTCACTCGCGCGCCTTACCAGCTCCTGCTCTTTCTTGCCATCTTGTGTGCTCTCCTCCGTCTGTGGTGCTCTCCCTCTGACTTTCCTCTTGTGGGGGCTTTTCTCCTCGCTCTTCTCCCGGGTCTTCTCCTTATTTTTTCCCCGATCCTCTGCCCGCTCTTCTTCGTGCTTTTCTCCCCCCTCCTCTCCCCGCCCCTCCCCTCCCCCTCCTTTGCTTCATCTCCCCATCGCCCCCCCCCCCCCCCCCCCCCCCCCCCCCCCCCCCCCCCCCCCCCCCCCCCCCCCCCCCCCCCCTCCCCCCCCCCCCCCCCCCCCCCCCCGCCCAACCATGCCATCCCCTAGCCCTCCTTCCTGCAGCTGTCCTTCGGCATTGCCCTTGCCCTGCTGCTGCTGGTGGAGATCATCCGGCATTTCCGGTTCCCGGTCCTCGGCCCGGCTGTGGACCAGGCCTTCGGGGTCTTTCTGGACGCGCGAGACTGCGGGCCGGTGGTCCTGTCGCACCTGTACCTGCTGATTGGGTGTGCCCTGCCGGTGTGGCTCTCGCCGGCGGTTCTGCTGGACTCGGGGGCTCTGTCGGATTTTGCCTCCTCACGCTCCGTCCTGGCCGGGCTGTCCGGCATCCTGGCCCTTGGTGTCGGCGACACCGCGGTATGTGCCTGCGCATGGCTGTTGCCCACGCCGCTGCTCCTTCTGGCCGCTTGCTCACACATGCGCCTCGACGGTACTTGTTGCCGCCTGTCCCGCGGGCGGGCGGGCGGGCGCGTAGGCTTCGGCCTTTGGGCTTTCCTTCGGCCGGCACCGGTGGCCCGGGTCACGCAAAACCATCGAGGGCACCCTCGGCGGGCTGCTCTCCACCCTGCTGACGGTGGCCCTGTCGGCGGTGGCCTTCGGCTTTGTGTCCTTCAGCTCGTCGCACGTATGTCCGCATGCGCGGCCCAGCCCCGGGACCCGGCTCTCTTTCTCTCTCTCTCTCTCTCTCTCTGTCTCTCTCGGCGTCTCATGTGCCCCTGCCGGCGTGTCCTTTCCTCGCCACCCCCCCCCTTTACTCCCTGTTTGCCTGACTTGTGCCTCCTCCGTGCCACGTCCCTTCCTGGCTTGGGACCGGTCGCCTTCCCCCCCTCCCCCCTTCCCCCCTGCCGCTCTGCCGGCCAGTGGTCCCTGTACAGCACGGCGCTGGCTTTCTCCGCGCTGCTGGAGGCCCTCACATTCCAAAACGACAATCTCATCGTCCCATTGTACCTCTTCTCCGCCGTATCCCTGATGGCCGGCTAGAGTCGCCCCGGCGCACGGCGCGGGGCATGATCCCCTGGGGCCCCCCCCCCCCCCTGGCCGGAGATCTGGCGCGCCGCGCGCCGCGCGTGCACGCACACTTGTCCTTGTGAATAAACATCCGCTCCGTTGGCACCCCGATGCGCCGACTCTTCCGCCGGCGCTCCGTTTTCGCCGGGCGATCTGCCAGGGGGCGGGCAGTTTGGGGCCCTCATCGCGCCCTCCCCCTCCCTCCCCCATCTTCCTGCTGCCCCCTCCCCCGCTCCCCCCCGCTCCCCCCCCGCCCCTTCCCCGCCCCCTCCTCCGCACTCCGCCGCGCAAATGTCCCGCCCTCGGCCGGCGCGGCCGCCATCGCGGCCACCGGCCACGCTGCCCACACCGCGGCTTCCTCCCCCGCCGGATGCCCACCACTTTGTGGACATCACAGATCGCGCGCGGGTCCGAGTGACCTCCTGGCGACGAGGCCACGGCGCGGCCAACCTCACCGACGGTAGTCCGCACACCTTCTGGAGATCGGATGGCGGGATCACGCCGGTGGTGGCCGGCGCCCGGCCGGCCGGGCACGGTGTTTTCCTGGAATTCCCGCGGCCCTTCCGCCTGGCCGCCCTGGCGGTGTATGTGGACGTTCCGGCGGACGAGTCCTACGCCCCGAGCCAGATCGCCGTGCGCCTGGGCGGATCGTACCGGGACCTGGTGGTATGTGGGCTTCGTCCTGGCGCCTCTGCCCCGCTGCCCTTCCTCGCTCGCCCCCTCCGCAAGCCGCCCTGCATCTTGCGACCCCTTGCCCTTCTGGCGCTGACGGCCCTGCACTCCACCCCCGACCCGATGGCCCGGCGCCTGACCACCGGTCGGCAGACCATCAGCATCATCGATGTGCCGGACGCGCACCAAGGTTGGGTCGTGGCGCCGCTCTTCCAGATCGAGGACTACCTCCCGATGTGCGTCGCTGCGCCGGCCGGCCGGCCGGCCGGCCGCTGCCCGCCCCGCCCCGCCTCTTCGTAGCATGGCCTCCTGCTTACCTTGTTTCTCTCTCTCTCTCTCTCTCTCTCTCCCCCCTCTCGCCTCTCCCCCCTCTCGCCTCTCCCCCCTCTCGCCTCTCCCCCGATCGCCATGTGCGCCGGACAGCGGCCCGCGCTCCTGCCTGGTCCACTTGATGGTGGTGAAGAACCACTTCGGCGGGCATGACACGCACCTGCGGCAGGTGCGGGTTTTCTCGCTGGACGCCATCACCCCGGGTGTGCAGGCGCTGGACGAGCTGCCAGGCGAGCAGCGCCTGGTGTCGACACGCCCCGGGCCGGGCGACGCCGGCCACCGGGCGGCCGGCACCGACGCCCCGGACGCATGCTCGGATGTCCCGTCAGCGGGGTCCTTCGAGCCGGCCCCGCCGAGCAGCGACCTGCGCTTCCTGGCCCGACTGGGCCGGCGGGGCAGCGGGGTGGGCCGGCCGCCGGCCGCGGGCGCGGGCGCGGGCGCGGGCGCCGCAGCCCCGGGGCCTGGCCCGGCCCCGCCGCCCGGGGCCCCCTGGCGAGCGGCCATCAGCCTGACCGACAGCGCCCTGGCGCCGGTCCTGTCGGCCGGCATTTCCTCTCACACGCTGGCTGCCACGACGGCGGCCTCCTTCTCGGCCGAGACGCCGATGCTCCTGCGCAGTCTCGGGCCCGGGGAGTGGCGGGTGGCCGGGGGCCGGGCGGTCTTCCGGCCGCCGGCCGGTGGCCCGACTGCCGCCGGCGACTCGGCCACCCCGGCCCCGGTGGTGGTGCCCGGGGCGGCGGCCCATCGGGCCGCCACAACGGCCGCCGCGCTCCGGGCCGCCGGTCAAGTCGCCGGTCCGGGCGCCGGCGCGGCCGGGGCCCCTGGCGGCCGTCCGGTGCCGGTGCCCCTGCCGGTGCCGGCTGCGGGGTCGACCTCGCGGCCGGCGGCGGGCGCGGCCCCCCGGCCGGCGCCGGTCACCGGGTCCCGGGCGCCGGGCCCCCGGCCGGCACCGGTCACCAGCTCGGCCACGGGCCCGGGGCCGGGGGCGGCCACGTCCGCTGCGGCGGCGGCCGCCACCGTCGCCGCCGCCGCCACGGCCGCCACGGCCGCCACGTCGCGCCCTGCGGCCGGGCCCCGGCGCACGGGAGCCACCGGGTCCTTCACACGGCTGGCGTCCTCCTCCGGGGGCCGGTCTGGCGGTGGCCGGGGGCCGCCGTCGTCGAGCACGCGGTCGGCCGGGCGCGTGGCATCTTCCTCCGGGGCCCGGGGGGCGGGGCCGTCGTCGGGTGCCGGCCGGGCGGCAGCTCGGACCGTGGCCCGGCCAGCGCGGCCGGCGCGGTGCACACGGGGGGCGACGGCCGCCATGGCGGCCGTCGGCGGCCGGTCCGCCGGACCCCCCGGCCCGGGGTCCGGCCTGCCGGGGTCCTCGTCGGCAGCGACGCTGGGCCCCGCTTCCGAGGGGAATGTCGACGGGGTGGAGGATGCCGGCGAGGCGTCCCACGGCCGGGCATCGATGTGGCTGCTGTCGGCTTCGACGCCGGTCATCCGGCCGGTGAGGCCGCCGGCGGCCGGTCAGAGTGCCGCCGGGGCCGGGGCCCCGGGGGTGCCCGGGGCCGCGCCGGCCGCTGCTCGCCCGCCGGCCATCCGGCCGCCCCGTTCGGTCCGGCCCCTGACCCGGGGCATCCCCGGGGTCACCCTGCCGCTGGTCATCCCGGCGGAGGCGGCCATGGCGGTGCCGGCGGCCATGGCGGTGCCGGCGGCCATGGCGGTGCCGGCGGCCGCGTCCGGTGCGCCGGCCACCCCCGGCCCGGGCCCCCGGGCGCCGGCCACCCCGGGCCCGGTGACCCCGGGCCCGGTGGCCGCCGGCCCGTCCACGCCGATGCCCCGGCCCCCGGGGCCGGCTGCCGGGGCGGGTGCGCTCCCCCCCCCGGCCCCCTTCCAGCCCTTCCAGGCGCCGTATCCGGTGATGGTGGGCGCCGGGGGCCCGGCGGCCGGCGGCCCGATGTCCACCCCCGGGCCCGCTGTCGGTGGCCTGCTCGCCGGCCCCCCGGCGGTCGACCGGGCACTGGAAGACGCCGGCCCGCGAGCCGGGACCCCGGGGTCCGGGCGCGCCGGTCGGTGGTCCACCCCCGGCGGGCCGCTTTCCTCGGCGGCCGCAAGTGTCCGGGCCGCGGCCGCGGCCACCACGGCCCGCTGGTCCGATGCCCTGGATGTCGACTATACGGATCCCGACTCGGAGTACCTGCCACCGGCGAGCGAGGACCCCCGGGGGCCGGCCTCCTCGACCGGGCGCCGGGCCAGCACCCGGCGGACCCCCCGCCGCGCGGGCCTCGAAGACCCGGGGCTCTACCTGGACCCGGACATGGTGCTGCTCCCGAGCGACGGGACCCACGCGACGGGCTTCTTCCGGTGACACCGCAGCCCGGCTGCTGTGCGGCCCCCCCCCCCCCGGCTCGGGGGAGGTGCATGTGCGAATACAAGCCACCGGTCGTTGCATCCCCGCCCCCTCCCCCCCGGCCTCCCCCTCTGCCTGGATGTCTGTTTGCATGGGTAGGTGCGGCGGATGGTGCAGGCGTGTGCGTATAGTAGTGTACAAAAAGGCGGGCCACAGGGCCGGCAGACGGGCGGCCAGGCGACCAGGGGCGAAGTCTTCTTCTTCTTCTTCTTCTTCTAGTGGGGCAAGAGCCAGGGCCGGGGGGAAGCCCGCGGGGCTTAGCCGCCCTTGAGGCGCTTCTCGCGCATGTCGCGCTCGGCCAGCTGGCGCTCGTGGAAACTCCGCAGGTTCTTCCCCCGGACCTCGGCCTTCTGCCGAAGCATGGCGAAGGGCTTGTTCTTGGAGTTGGCCAGGTTGGTCTTGCCCACGTGCGCCTTGGTGCCCTTGCGGGAGGCGTACTTCTCGCGGCCCTCGCGCCCGGCGTCGGCCGCGGCCAGGCGCTCCTCCTTGGTGGCGCGCTGGCGCTTGGTGTAGGCCATGAGCGACTCCGGGTTGACGGCCTCCTCGTAGGTGGTCCGAGTGGGGCTGAGGCAGGGCAGCAGCGCAGCAGGGCGAAGGGGCGGGAGTCAGTCATCCGGGGGCGTGGACGCACAGGGGAGGCAGGCAGGGTGGGTGTGGGGGGGGGGG